GCAACAAAGTTGAACAGTTTAAGGCACGACGTACTGATGGCGTATTTAAATTAGAGATTGTGACGCTTCAACAAGCTTTAACTTACTTTAAGGCTGCAACTTATTACTGACAAGCGTCTTCAAGTTAGAAGGGTGAGCCACTGGCAGGGTTGAACAGAATTTGGGCACGACGTACTCATGGCGTCTTCAAGTTGGGGTATGGCTGACGGGTTGACAGTTGAACAGTTTGGAATTAGGGTATGACACATACTGATGAACAGTCTTCAATTTGGGGAAGTTATGGCATAAGCTGACATGTTGAACAGTTTGGGCACGACATGCTGATGGCGTCTTCAAGTTAGGGTATGGCACTGACCAGTTGAACAGTTTGGGCGACATACTGATGAAGCGTCTTCAAGTTAAAGGGGTATAGCGCTGACATGTTGAACAGTTTGGGCGACATACTGATAGAATGTCTTCAAGTTGGGGTATGGCGTACTGATAGCTATGACCGATGGTGCAGAGGATCCCCGACTATTGATCCCTGCTGGATTGCCCCATGATGGATGTAACATACGTTTGACATACGGGATGTTTTAATCCGTTCTCCACATTATTAAGGGGGCTTGTCATATTGCTGGATGAGTAGCTGTAATACCAAGTATCTTACTGTATCAAGACACAGGGGCTTGTCATATTGCTGGATGAGTAGCTGTAATATACCAAGTATCTTACTGTATCAAGACACAGGGCTTGTCATATTGCTGGATGAGTAGCTGTAATATGCCAAAGTATCTTACTGTATCAAGACGCTGGGGCATGGCATTTCGGTAGTTCAACTTAATGTGTTACTGGTTCTCGGCCAGACCAAGACAAGCTACCACAGGGTGGTTGGATAGACCAGTGGGTAAAAGAAAGCGTCTCGGATTACCAGGTTCTATTTCCCCATGAGTACGATGTGTGAAGCCGATTTCTGGTGTCCCCTACATTTATATGGCTGGACTTTTGCTAAAGCCGCTTAAAGCCGCAGGCGCTAACCATCCCAAGCGAACACGCATGTCGCTAAAAGAAGTTCAACAGTCTTGACCTCGAAGTCTGAACCCCGTTCGACCTCGCCTCCAGACTACGTCTTTGTTGTATACGACGATGTCTCACCTGATGAAGTGGCAACAAGCAGTCTGAAGGGATGTGGCTAGTGCTCACCATTGGCTGTTGACCCGCGACACAAACTGGGATCAGCTGTTATATGGCTTCGGTGGGAAGGCGGTACAAGAGGACGGCCAATTGACCATCTCACTTGCGTTTCCTGTGTACTGTTTTACGCGGCTTCCGCCACCTACTCGTGGTACTACTGACATGGCGTTAGTGGTTATCACCTTACCCACGTTCCGTGCGTTATGCACCGCCTGGCACGGCGATGTTCGCCCGTGTTGACACCTTCCTGTTTGTAGATTGGTGAGTGAGTGAGTTTTCAAATGCCTGTGAAAAGCCCATTTCCACATATTATACATCTCATCTTGACCATGATCGGGTCCGGGCTGGACATTGGCGCTATACAGATATTAGCATAATAATGATGTTAAATTAGGGGACAATCAGAGGATGCTGGCCTGATAAGGGACTGCAACTTTGTACATCTAATTTGTTCTACGAGACAGAAACGTTCATGATACAAGGGTACACGTAAAACAGGCGGGGCGTTGGTGAATGAGTTTAGTTTTGCGCCGCTTTTAGCAATATTCCAGCAATATCATGGCGGGGACACCAGAGATGGGCTTCACACATTGTGTTTACTGTTGGGAATCGAACCTGGGTCTTCGGTGCGTGGAGTGAACGCTTTAACCACTAGGCCATCCCACTGAACCCATTTCCAGTAAAGTAATGTTTATTGGTGCACTAATAGCTTATCGTCTTGGCATGAAGACAGGCCACCATGGCATGGTAGCAGTACTGCGGTGTGCCGCCAGGTGGTAGACACATACGTTTTCGTGAGTTATCTTACGGGAGCTACCGGTAGGATGGGACTGGCATTTTCCACGAACACCCAGTCATCACTGGTTTGACTACATGCATTTTAATTTTCACCGCCATTACTTTTACCTTTGCGTCCAATGGAATCTGGTTTCAACTGTTAGTCAGAGACTGCCAATACTCTGGCCTTGACGTGTCGTATGTTCGCAGGCAATATTGTTTGTTTTACCCTATTTCGCCCACGGTTATAGTTTTTAAACGTTGTGTCGAATTGACAGTGTTTTGCGAAGATGCAAGGATTATTTGTCTCAGTGAATGCAGTGTGTATGTCGCCTTGGCGAAAAGCGGAACTGGATTGCTGTAGAAAGGTCAATCATTGCCGAAGCGAAAATTAAAGCTTAGGCTCGATCTGAAAATAATTTGACCGATGGGGTGTCCCCTGTGGCTTACATTAGGAACAGTTTGCTTGCTACTGCTTCAATGCTTGTACTTTCAAAGTGAACTCATTTTGTGAATGTCACAATTAGAAAACCAGTGTGAGTCCGTCCTCTGGGTTGTGCCGTCGACAAAGGTAGCACTCACCATCATTGTTACAAGCATGTTTCATTTCATTAAAAGACATGTTTCATTTTGCTTGACAGAATGTGTTAATGTTTTCCACCACATGGCATCTACCGGCATAACGTCATGTCTTTTGGTCTAAAGTGGGTGAGTGAGTTTAGTTTTACGCCGCTTTTTGCAATATTCCAGCAATATCACAGCGGGGGACACCTGAAATGGGTACCCATTTTTGGTCTAAAGGGATGAGGGCGGGAACATGTTTCCTGGAAAACAAACGTGATAGCACCAACAACACTAAAGACTGTGTTCCTGGATTTGTCATCACCTTATTCTTACTCGTGGATTTCACAGTAGTGGTAAACGTCTGAGACCTCATCTCTGTGGATGTGTTTATTTGTTTGTTGGTTGTTTAACACCGCACTCAGCGATATTCCAGCTATATGGCGGTGGAGGTGACTACAAGGAGAAACACAGCGTCCTGTTCCCCGTTCCTCGACTCAACAATTTGGTACCGGGGACAGAGTCTGGCATCATCATGCATGTATGATCGTATTAAAGATCATGTTCCAGCTCGATCTTTACGATCCGGCTGCCAACATTTGTTTTCTATACCGAAATCTCGCCCATCTGCAATGGTGACAGAACCTTCTCAAAAGCTGGTCAAGTCTTTTGGAATTCCATTCCATACGATCTCCGATACATTTAGGAACTATCAAATTTCAAATCTAGCTTCGACACGCACTCCTTCAGATTGGCATTCAACTGAATACCCTTTGTCAGAGTTGTTTTCCTCAAAAGCGCCTTTGAGCAGACTTTCATGGACTGGAATTATAACTAATTATTCATGATAAATTCTGTCTCTGAATATAGGGGTAGCTGGCACACCTGTGCTGCAGTGGCTCCACCTGTGTCCAGACACGACATTTAGACAGAAGTAAGGAACCATGATTTCAGGTTCTGACGTCATCCTGTCGGATGTGGACATAGACACAAAGCGCCATTAATTCCACAGGATTCAGAAATGAGAGAGGTCTACATTACAGAAATCATCAACCTCGTCAACATGCGCGTAGATTCAATTATAGAAAGCTTTACAAAACATATCGACTGTCTCTGTCTGGATACAAACCTAGAACATATGAGAAGACAAGCCATTATTTTCATGTAACTATATGAGAACTGTGAGCTAATACCGCGGCTTATCGTACAACCTTCATCATTCAGACCACTCTGCAAACAAACTCGGTCACTTCCGAGCATGTCAGTTTTCCATTCATTTCCGTAGTCAATTAATTGACAATTACTTGTGTTTTTAACAGTTCAAAATGACCGCCCGATATCTTCCAGCCTACATATATCAGGGTTTTCGCTGTTGAAATTGCACTAAGCCTCCACAAAACATTTGATTGTGTCTTTATTTAATTCTCTGTTCATGTCCAACATGCTAATGACTGATCTTTGTCATTAATATAGTGACGGCTACAACAGCACAGTGACGGCTACAACAGCACAGTGACGGCTACAACAGCAATTCTACTTTCAGCACAGACCGTACAACTTGTCTTCTTCAACAACTGGGCGGTGGGGTAGCCTAATGGTTAAAGCGTTGGCTCGTCACGCCGAAGACCCGGGTTCGAATTCCCACATGGGTACAGTGTGTGAAGCCCATTTCTGGTGTCCCCCGCCGTGATGTTGCTGGAATATTGCTAAAAGCGGCGTAAAACCAAACTCAGTCAGTCAGTCAGCCTTCAACAACTGAGCTTTTTGTTCTTATACTAGTATTTGTTTCATGAGCAGATGTCTTGAACGTCTTATGACATGGTTTAACATGCAAAGTTTAAATCGGTAATGACGGTAATGATCAAATGTGTGACCTAATGCAACGAATAATGCAAATAATGTGTTTACCATGTAAACACACACGAGACATGATCAGATCTAGTCTTTTTTCTGGAGTTTAGTTTTAAATGGATCTAATTTTTAAAAAGTTCGGGAGAATAATGTTTGTCATACAAAACGCACAAACGTTCATCGTATGTGAGGGTTTTTTACCTTAAAAACTCCAAACACCCTGCATATTGAAATCCCAGCTTCGGCCGAGCTGCAGCTGTGACGTCATAGTGTGGTGACGAAAGCCATTTTTCATTTGAGCTACAATGACGTCATTCTCGGTATACAGGGAATGTAGACTTTGTGTGTCTGAAAACACGAAAATAGCTATCTCCTCACAGACAAAACACCATAGTAACACTATATCCGCATAATACAATATGTGGAGCCCATTTCTGGTGTCCCCCGCCGTGATATTCCTGGAAGTGGCGTAAAACTAAACTCACTCACTCAAATATAGATGTTGTATAATATATTGAACCGAGTTTTAACTCGCATTCAGAGTCATTTGCATAACACATGTACTTTTTTTTATCTAACTTGGCAAATTAACAGAATTATGTTCACATGAACCAAACTAAATGGTGACTAGAAAAAAAATGTCAGCTGTCTCAGGATCCCAAATGGTAGGTGAGATTTTAAGAGTGTTGTGTTCATAACGAGATATAGCTGATGGCATTTTTTGTCTCACAGGAAATGAAAACTAACACCGAATGGATGTTTTGTTTATACAATAGATGCCACCTTTTAAAGAAAACTGCTATATCCCAATAACGCGCTATAACAAATCCAAAAAACGCCCTTACTTACAATGAATTCGGGTCTGTCGAACATGTAAAACCCGATACTCGTTCAGGTGTTCAGCAATCATAACATTTTAGACACCAAGTAAGTCAAAATGATTGGACAAGTAACTCGACTAAGTTGGTTTAAAACACGTGTTGTAAGTACACGTCTTTCAGAATAAGAACACCTTCATATTTTAATGAACTAAGGAGTTGGTGAAACTCAGGGAAAGCTCTTTTACTGCATCTTTCCAAGTATCCAGTTTGAATATGTCAGCCATGCTTCGAAACATCACGTCTTTGAGTTGTCCTTGTTGTTGCCAATTGACACGGAGTAAGTCACGTTTGTGTGTCTGTATAAATATGTCCTTGCCTTTCTTCAGTACAAACGATCCCATTCTGGTGCCAATTACCTCGAATCTCATCTCACGTTAAGAAGTGTAGAGTGTTTGTTGACATGTACACCAATGCTGGTGCCGCATGGTAACGTTTGCATTTTAGATAACATCTTGCCTATACAAAAGTATATATTGACACTGGTCTCCCCTTGAAGAACCCAGACAAGACTATCCCCTACTCTCCTGCCCTTAAGGAATCCAGGCCAAAAGTTCCCCAGCACCCTACTCGCTTCCCCTTGAGAAATCCAGGCCAAAAGTTCCCCAGCACCCCTACTCGCCTCCCCGCTTGAGGAATCCAGGCCAAAAGTTCCCCAGCACCCCTACTCGCCTCCCCTTGAGGAATCCAGGCCAAGAGTTCCCCAGCACCCCTACTCGCCTCCCCTTGAGGAATCCTGGCCAAAAAGTTCCCCAGCACCCTACTCGCTTCCCCTTGAGGAATCCTGGCCAAAAGTTCCCCAGCACCCCTACTCGCCTCCCCCCTTGAGGAGTCCAGGCCAAGAGTTCCCCAGCACCCCTACTCGCGCCTCCCCCCCAGGGAATCCAGGCCAAAAGTTCCCCAGCACCCCTACTCGCTTCCCCTTGAGGAATCCAGGCCAAAGTTCCCCAGCACCCCTACTCGCCTCCCCTTGAGGAATCCAGGCCAAAAGTTCCCCAGCACCCCTACTCGCCTCCCCTTGAGGAATCCAGGCCAAGAGTTCCCCAGCACCCCTACTCGCTTGCCTCCCCTTGAGGAATCCAGGCCAAAAAGTTCCCCAGCACCCCTACTGCTTGCCCTTGAGGAATCCTGGCCAAAAGTTCCCCAGCACCCTACTCGCCTCCCCTTGAGGGAATCCAGGCCAAACGTTCCCCAGCACCCTCCTACTCGCGTCCCCTTGAGGAATCGAGGCCAAAAGTTCCCCAGCACCCTACTCGCGTCCCCTTGAGGAATCGAGGCCAAAAGTTCCCCAGCACCCCTACTCGCTTCCCCTTGAGGAATCCAGGCCAAGAGTTCCCCAGCACCCTACTCGCTTCCCCTTGAGGAATCCAAGCCAAAGTTCCCCAGCACCCCTACTCGCCTCCCCTTGAGGAATCCTGGCCAAAAGTTCCCCAGCACCCCTACTCGCCTCCCCTTGACTAATCCAGGTCAAGAGTTTCCCAGCACCCCTACTCGCCTCCCCTTGAGGAATCCAGGCCAAAGTTCCCCAGCACCCCTACTCGCCTCCCCTTGAGGTATCGTGGCCAAAAAGTTCCCCAGCACCCCTACTCGCCTCCCCTTGAGGAATCCAGGCAAGACTGTCCCCTACTCGCCTCCCCTTGAGGAATCCAGGCAAGACTACTCTCCTCCCCTTCCGAAAGCCGGACAAGACCGTCTCCAGTACCCTGACTCGTTTCCCCAGATTAATCCATTCATGACTGTTCCCAGTACTTCTACACGAATCCCTGGAGGAATCCGTGAAGGACTATCTTTTGTGCAATAGCACCTACCTGTCTTCCCAAAGTAATCGTTTATGGTGATGGCCTGCTGGAAGTATGGAGTTCAGCATTCATATTTATGGCCATCTTGGAGAGAATTTAGATAACTTGAAGACTTTTAAATGACATTTTGCTACTTGTTCATAAAGATCTGAATGATCATTTTGCCATTTAGCGAACAGACAAGATTAGTGTGTAGGTAGTATTGTGATCTCAACTTCTCTCGACGGAGTCGTCACCTTGATATAGTAGAGGAGATGAGTGTCACCCTCGTCAAGTCAAGTTGCTGTAGCTACCTATCATCTTTCCCACTAATTAACTTGCTTTGCTGCCTATGGCATTTTAAATGACACAATTTCCACCGCACGATGGAGTGTCGAAACCTCTTCTCCCGTACACAGAGCTGATATATAGTATGACCAGAAATTATTGAGAATTTTAGGAATATGTTTAATTGGATTTGTAGTATACAACCTTGACCAGCTATCAAGTGCTTGGTTTCATTCAAGAGAGACTACTCCGTTAATCCTTTTTCATTAGTTTGTGAAGAGTTATCCCCCTTTGTTTACTTGCTAGCAGACGACATTTTCAGTGATCCTCAGTTTGGATGAATTAGAGAAGGGGAAGTTGATTTTAGAGTATTATAACAAGGACATCAGATCAGCTAAAGTGATTTCAAGTAGAACAGGCATCCCTGTGTCAACTGTTTATCGTGTTTTGAAAAATATTGCAAATGGATATGGCATTGAGCACCAGGGAGGCGCAGGTAGGCCCAGAAAATTGACTGTCGGTGACAGGAGGCGGCTTGGTATTCTTGTTTCTATAAACAAACGAAGGAGTTTAGAAAACTTAAGGCTGGATATGATTGATAGAGGAACTGTGGCTGTCTCTAAGGAGACAATTAAAACTGAGCTGCATGCAATGGGTTGGCCGAAAAGTCGAGGAACTCCATCACCGATCATGAAACCTGAACAAAAGGGCGAAGGTTGAACTGGTGCTTACAGCATAGAAATTTTAACTGGGACAATGTGATTTTCTCAGTTGAAAGTTCTGTGTGGCTGTTTCCTAATACACTGAAATTCTGGACCAAAACAAAGTGAAAACCTTTGTATCAGCGCCCAAAGTACAGTCCGAAATTTAACGTGTGGGGTGGCATATCTGTGTTAGGGGCAACGCCCCTCTGTGTATTTGAAGGGAATATGAACAGTGAGCGGTACACATATTCTCGAGGGACATTTTCTTCCATCTGCTCACGTGTTCTATGGAAATTTTCCAGCAGGACAACGACCCAAAACATCGTTCAAAGCATTCCCAGGCCTGGTTTCGGACCCAAAATCTGACATTATTAGATTAGCCAAGCTATAGCCCTGTAAGCTAAAAGCTAGAAAGTTATAGTCACATGACTTATCCCACCGGGTACCCACGTTGCTTAACTTCAATTGATGTGTGACCTGAGCTCTATGCACAGGACCGCACACAAGCACAGATTGATCAGATGTGTTGAACGAGTGAGCGAACAGCTGTGCAAAGTATTAAGCAGACTTGCAAGTTTGATTCTCATGCCCTGAAGGCTGGCTTTCGATATAAATCAAAGAGATCGATAATAGTTAACTAAATCTTCTAGATCTTCTACAGATAACTTCTACAAAACAAATGGCAAAAAGTCTGGAAATCAACATACGTAACATCACTAGAGAGTTGTGACATATTTATCTGACTTATGAACAAAAAACATTGTCTTGAACATCATTTAGAAGCAATCCAGAAATAACAATGTAGCTTGGTGCAGTGTGTCGGTGGTAGCTTAGCACCATATTTCATTGCAATGCACGATATAATATCGGTGACACAGTTTTCATATCGATTATCACTGATAATTCTTCCCATCGACGATATTTCCGGAGTATCGATACTTTTAGCCAGCCCCACATGTCATACCATCATATGGAAAACCTCAAAGATAATACCCTTTAAAAACACATGGGTTGTATTGAACTACCATGTTGATTTACCCCCGTTGCTCAATAGCTGTGAAGTGTTTTGAAGGCAATGTCTTAAATCATCTGTTGTGTGGTGCAAGTCATCCTTGTGACCCCTTGCAGTTTGCACGCAGAGAGAGACGCAAAATTATTTTAAACAATATTATAAAAAATCTAGAGATGTCTAAATCTAATATGCTAGATTTCTTTTACTAACATTTCTTCTGCTTTTAATACAATTGGCACTGTATGGGGACGGTTTTATGTAGGAGTTAAATTGAATATTTCGTTAAAGATTGAAGTTTTCCCCATCGGCTGGGCCTCAATTTGTACAAGTTATCTCTGCTCTTTCCGCGGTTGTGCATCGGAACATGGGCGGTCCACAAGGTTGTGTCACCTCGCCTCTCCTTTCATGCTGCACACGAACAACTGACTGCCATGTGTCGTATTGACAGAATGTCGAGTTACCTGATGGCGCTGATGACGCACCATGGGCTGTCCCCTTGGAGACAATGAACAAAACCACAGAGAGGAAATCAGTTCATTTGCCAATGTGATGACAATTATCCTACTGTGAATATGACAAAACCTAAGGAATAAATAATCGATTGGAGAGATAAAAGAACAACCCTCACATCTGTCACCATCAATCATGAACTCTGTGATAGTTTTTACCAAATATAATTGGTTATATTTGTTGATAATAAGTTAAAGTTTGACATTGACATTGATGTTGTGTTTAAGAAATGGCAAACAAAAATAACATGCATAGATTAACATCTTTAGTGTTTACAAGAGTGTATAACTGGTTGAAAGAGACGACCAGATGGAGCGAGCGATCAGGCCCGTCGTTGATTGCGTTTGCTGTGATGAAGTGGTGATCACTATCACTGGATTCTGTGGCCCAGGCTTGATTATTTTACAGGCTGATGACATGACATACAGAAGGAATACAGCTGGGTGCGGCGTTACATGACACACAAACAATATAAAGAAGGGGTTGCGGGATTGAATCTGCTCAATTCCGCACAGTATGGTGATGCTTCTTTTCATCTCGATATCATACGAGGAACTCTTCGGGCAGAAACCGTTGTTTCGTGAGAGATAGTTTCATAAGCACAATTTTGGTATTTTCTTACCCTTGAGTGTAATCTGTCACTCGTACAAGGTTGTAGTATCTTTTAACCCTTGACTGTAAAGTACCACAAGTAAAAGCTTGTGGCCTCCTCTCTAAGTTTTGGAGCGTAGAGTACCCACAGTACCAGATAGTGGCCTCCTCTAACCCATGCAGAGTAAAAGTACCACCAGTATCAGGTAGTGGTCACCTCTAACCCATGGAGTGTAAAGTACCACCAGTATCAGGTAGTGGTCACCTCTAACCCATGAGTGTAAAGTACCACCAGTACCAGATAGTGGTCTCCTCTAACCCATGGAGTGTAAAGTACCACCAGTACCACAGATAGTGGCCTCCTCTTAACCCATGGAGTGTAAAATGCCACAGTACCAGATAGTGGCCACCTCTCTACCCATGGAGAGTAAAAGTACCACCAGTACCAGGTAGTGGTCTCCTCTAACCCATGGAGAGTAAAGTACCACAGTACCAGATAGTGGCCCCTAACCCATGGAGTGTAAAGTACCACCAGTACCAGAGAGTGGCCTCCTCTAACCCATGGAGTGTAAAGTACCACTAGTACCAGATAGTGGCCTCCTCTAACCCATGGAGAGTAAAGTACCACCAGTACCAGATAGTGGCCTCCTCTAACCCATGGAGAGTAAAGTACCACCAGTACCAGATAGTGGCCTCCTCTAACCCATGGAGTGTAAAGTACCACCAGTACCAGGTAGTGGTCTCCTCTAACCCATGGAGAGTAAAGTACCACCAGTACCAGAGAGTGGCCTCCTCTAACCCATGGAGAGTAAACTACCACCAGTACCAGATAGTGGTCTCCTCTAACCCATGGAGTGTAAACTACCACCAGTACCAGGTCGTGGCTCTCCTCTAACCCATGGAGAGTAAACTACCACCAGTACCAGATAGTTGCCTCCTCTAACCCATGGAGTGTAAAGTACCACCAGTACCAGATAGTGGTCTCCTCTAACCCATGGAGAGTAAAGTACCACCAGTACCAGGTAGTGGTCTCCTCTAACCCATGGAGTGTAAAGTACCACCAGTACCAGATAGTGGCCTCCTCTAACCCA